TTACTAATTGATGCTAAAAACTTAAAAAACTAAGTGATTTAAAGGGATTAAAACATTTTATGACATCAACAATAATAAATTGAACTAATTAGAATCAAGTACCTAATATGTTCCAGTCCTGTGCTAATTATTTTAGATAAATTATTTTATACTATGACTACCATTATTATTATTTCCATATTCTAGGTGGAAAATTTAGAGATGGTAAATAACTCTCCAAAGACCACATTTCTAGCAAAAGACAAGTTTAAAATTGAAATCTACACTATCCTAAACTAAAATTTGAGCTCTGAGTCATTATTCGATATTGTTTCTGAAATATAGAAATGGGAAATGCAAAATTTCTCACATATTGGTTTATCATGGAAACCTCAATTACCTCCGAGAATTACTAACTTTTGGTAACAATGCTTGCTCTTCTTGCCTGTGTTGAATGGTTCTTTTGTTAATTTGATTAAATTAGTAACATCATTGCTTAGTATCCTTTCCTTGAACCAAGATAGAGCTAAGCAAAAGAGAAACTTGTGTGAAATATGGAAGTTGGAAATCAAGTGACTGGTATATTTCTGTACAGGTTGTCCAGTTAGTTGTAGTGCCAGAGGGTCAGAGAGATGTGGGTAGTTTCAAGATGTCCTTTCTCTCCTCCACATTGACTAACTCTTCTTTCTGTTGACTCTTCTGACCAGAAGGAACCCCAGTGCCTTACCTGTTGCTTGGGTTAATGATCGTAGAACTAACAGCTGTCCATACACTTCCCTGTTAGCAACTTTGCTCTGGTTTCATTTCAGCAGCTGGCTATGTACGTCCTCTTAGCTTGACTAGGGGGTGATTCATTTAATTTTATAACTTTCCTCTTTGATTCTTTTTATTTATTTATTTTTTTGACAGGCAGAGTGGACAGTGAGAGAGAGAGACAGAGAGAAAGGTCTTCCTTTCCCGTTGGTTCACCCTCCAGTGGCCGCCACGGCCGGCGTGCTGCGGCCGGCGCACTGCGCTGATCCGATGGCAGGAGACAGGTGCTTCTCCTGGTCTCCCATGGGGTGCAGGGCCCAAGCACCTGGGCCATCCTCCACTGCACTCCCTGGCCACAGCAGAGGGCTGGCCTGGAAGAGGGGCAACCGGGACAGAATCTGGCACCCCGACCGGGACTAGAACCCGGTGTGCCGGCGCTGCAAGGCGGAGGATTAGCCTAGTGAGCCGCGGCGCTGGCTCTCTTTGATTCTTAATTGCCATAATTTTCCCCACATTTACGTGAAGTCAAATTTCTTTTTAAAAAAATTTCATTTACAGATAATAGATTTCATTTATTTCAAACGTACAAGTTTAATATAACCATACTCCACTCCCTACTTTCCCTCCTTCAATCCTCCTCCTTTCTTCCTTTTTCCCTTTTATTTCCACAAAGACATAATTTCAATCCACTCTATAATCACAATATTAATTCACCACTAACCATAATATTCAACAAATAAAATGTGGGAAGATCACACTTCCACAGGAGTATAAACAAGGTCTAAAAACAATCAAATCATTAGATGTACATTTGGTTCCTATTCATTGTTTTGTATTCTATATTACTACCATATATCAGGGAAAACATATGATATCTGTCTTTTTGGCATTGGTGATTTCAAAGTTCTATAATAAATCCTTTATTCTAACTCTAAAATCATTTGACTTTCTTTATTATGTTTGAATGATATAGAAATTGGTATATGAAAGTGGATGCTACATTAACAGAAACCTAAACCATGAGACTGAATCTCAATAATATTTATTAAAAACATTACAAAGTTTTTGAGAAAATATACTCTGAAATTGGACCTCAAAGGATAGAGATAGCTGAAACAGAAAAGGCTTTTGGTCCTAAACTTTCTATGGGCAGGAATATGGCAGGGACAGCTACTCAGATGAAAAAATGGACCTTTTTTTAAGAAAAGGGAAAGTTATCTCATGGAGAGTTGCCAAGACTCCAGATATTCAACAGAACTGAGAATAATGGGTTACAGAACTACTCTAGAGCAGAATTGGGGCCTAATCAAGAAATATTTTTTTTCTGGTGAAGTTGGAGAACTTTAAAACATATTTCTGGTTGCATTTTATTTTTTCTTATTCCTTTATTTTCTCAATACTCCCTCATCCTGTTCCCAACTAGCACCTTTTATGAAGCTTTATAATTTTGGTTGCCCATTGACATATTCCCATGGAAGGTTCTGTATCTTTATGTGTGTTTAGATGAAAGTGAAGGAGAAAAAAGGTGTTGTTAGCTTGACAACAAGAAGTTTAGTTCAGAACAGTTTTCTTTTTTATTCTACACCTTTATAGAGCAGTGTTGCATGTGTTGTTGCAGTGTTGTTGAATTTTTTGAACCCTTCATTTCTACCAAAATATTGGAGTTATTTTAAAAAATGTGAAAGAGAAACCTAAAGCAACATGGAAGAAACATGGAAAAGAAAAGATCAATACTGTGGGAGAAAAGGATAAGTAAGAAAATAGCAAAAGCAAATTCCAAGATTCTAATACACTAAAATTATCCAAATTTAATTGATGAATTCACATCAGAAAAAAGTGTATAAACTAAAAACAGAAACATAGAGACGAAAGTGATGAGGAAAGTTTACTCCCAAATAGAAGGTAAGCTATAATTTAGCTGGATATTTTGCATTTAAAACTGGCTGCTTAGTGTCTTAGTTCTTTAGTGACTATGGAGTTTGTAAATGATAGACATAAGGATATAGTGAAGAAAGAAAAAGATAGGCTTTATAGATACTACTAAAAAAGCAATAATGAGGAATGATTTAACAAAATTCAAAGGTTTCAGATCATTTGAGATCCTGAAACAGCAGATGGCAAATATAGTTCAATTCAGACAAACATTAAAAAAGAAGCATAGCAATAGAGAACTACAAGAAAGGGTGGTGGAAACACATTTCAGTGGACTAATCACCCAGCATACCAACCAGAAAATATATGAAAACTTTTAACTAGCAGCTTAATGCAAAAGAACAGTTTTCTAAGTTGAAGACTAGAGTAAAAAGTGTTTCAAGTTTTCAGTCTTAACTGTTGAGGGGTAGGGAGAAAGTGGGAATTAGAATTTAAAGAAAAAAATTTTGAATTGGAAAAAGATGAAGTTAGTTTATGAAGCATGAGAATTCTTAGTCACAAACTCCAGGTTTAATTTTCTCCATGGAAATAAAAAAGCATTTTAGTAGGTATGTTAACTTATTTAATAGGATCCACTTTAACACTTTATTTAAGATGGTGTTAAAAAATAGCCAGGAGAACGTTACCAAGCGGAAACAGATTATGTAGTCTATAAACTGCCAGTTGTTTACATCGACAGTGTCTGACTGAGGGACAGAAAAGATATCCTATATGTTCACATGGTTGAATTGGCTGGAACATTTCCCTCTTAGTACAGCATCATGTACAAGTGATATTTTTTTAAAAAAAGACTTATTTATTTATTTAAAAGGCAGAATTACAAAGAGGCGGAGATGGGGAAGAAAGAAAGAGTGTGTTCCATCTGCTGGTTTTCTCCCCAGATGACGGCAATAGCTGGAGCTGGGCTGATCCACAGCCAGGAGCCAAGAGCCTTTTCTGGGTCTCCCATGCAGGTATAGGGGCCCAAGCCATAGCAGAGACCTGGATCAGAAGTGGAGTAGCTGGGATTTGAACTGGCGCCCGTATGGGATGTCAGCACTGCAGACTGGGGCTTTAACCTGCTGTGCCACAGCATCAGCCAATACATGTAGTTTTTATATTTTGATAGGTATTTATAAAGAAATATCAAGTGGAACTGTAAAACCTTCATTCCCACCCAGTTCATAATAAAATTCTCATTAGTTCTTCCAGATTCCACAGTTTACTCAGGGAAAACAAAGTTGGTCCCTCTGTAACACTTTCAGTATATTATGAGATTGACAGTCACATTACTTTGTTTATAAAGATTTATTTATTTATTTTGATCTTCAACATTTACTTGGTATATATGCACACATATGAACTTGTATATGTAATACATATTTTTAAACTTGTATTTAATAAATATAAATTTCAAAATACAGTACAACTTTTGGATTATAGTGGCTTTTCCCCCCATAACCTCCCTCCAACCCTCAGCCATCCCATCTCCCACACCCTCTCCCATCCCATTCACATCAAGATTCATTTTCATTTATCTTTATATACAGAAGATCAACTTGGTATATAATAAGCAAAGATTTCAACAGACTGCACCCCCACAGATACACAAAGTATAAAGTACTGTTTGAGTAGTAGTTTTACCATTAATTCACATAGTAAAACACATTAAGGACAGAGATCCTACATGGGGAGTAAGTGCACAGTGACTCCTGTTGTTGATTTAACAATTGACACTCTTATTTATGACGTCAGTAATCACCGGAGGCTCTTGTCATGAGCTGCCAAGGCTATGGAAGCCTTTTGAGTTTACAAACTCTGACTTTATTTAGACAAGGCCATAATCAAAGTAGAAGTTCTCTCCTCCCTTCAGAGAAAGGTACCTCCTTCTTTGATGGCCCGTTCTTTCCACTGAGATCTCACTCACAGAGATCTTTCATTTAGGTCATTTTTCTTGCCACAGTGTCTTGGCTTTCAAAGCCTGAGAAACTCTCATGGGATTTTTAGCCAGATCTGAAGGCCTTAAGGTATGATTCTGAGGCCAGAGTGCTATTTAGGGCATCTGACATTCTGAGTCTGCTTTGTATCCCATTTCCCATGTTGGATCATTCTCTCCTTTTTAATTGTATCAGTTATTATTAGCAGACAATAGTCTTGTTTATGTGATCCCTTGACACTTAATCCTATCATTATGATTAATTATGAACTGAAACTGATCACTTTGACTAGTAAGATGGTACTGGTACATGCCACCTTGATGGGATTGAATTGGAATCTCCTGGCACGTTTTAACTCTACCATTAGGGGTAAGTACGAGTGAGCATGTGCCAAACTGTACATCTCCTCCCTCTCTTATTTCCACTCATATTTAACAGGCATCACTTTTCAGTTGAATTTAAACACCTAAGAATAATTGTTTGTTAAAGAGTTCAACCAATGGTATTAAGTAGAACAAAAAAATACTAAAAGGAATAAAATAGTAAGTTGTTCATTGACAGGATGAGGGCTGATCAAGTCATTGTTTCTCAAAGTGTCCATTTCATTTCTACAGGTTTCCTTTTAGGTGCTCAGTTGGCACAGATCAGGGGGAACATATGATATTTGTCCCTTTGGGGCTGGTTTATTTCACTCAACATGATATTTTCCAGATTCCTCCATTTTGTTGCAAATGACCAGATTTCATTTTTTTCACTGCTGTATAGTATTCTATAGAGTACATAACCCATAATTTCTTTATCCAATCTACCGTTGATGGGCATTTAGGTTGATTCCATGTCTTAGCTATTGTGAAGCGAGCTGCAATAAACATTAATGTGCAGACAGCTCTTTTATTAGCCAATTTAATTTCCTTTGGGTAAATTCCAAGGAGTGGGATGGCTGGGTCACGTGGTAGGGCTATATTCAGGTTTCTGAGGATTCTCCAAACTGTCTTCCATAGTGGCTTTACAAGTTTGCATTTATTTATTTATTTATTTATTTAAAAGTCAGATTCTGAGACAGGGAGTGAAAGAATCTTCCATCTGCTGGTTCCCTTCCCAGATAGCTGCAACAGCTAGGGTTGGGCCAAGCCAAAGCTAGGGTCCAGGAGCTTCTTCCCTGTCTTCCACATTATTGGAAGAGGTCCAAACCCTCTACTGCTTTTCCCAGGCCCTTAGCAGGGAGCTGGATCAGAAGTGGAGGGCTGGGACTTGAACTGGGCACCCATATTGGCTGTTGGCATTGAAGGCAACGGCTTAACCTGCCACGCCACAACACTGGCTCCAATAGTCATGTTACTTTTAAAAAACTTTTTACCATTTACAAATAACTTACATTAAAATAGAGCACATATAAGCTGTTTTTTTTTTTCAGAGTTTTGATACTAGTAGATGTTTTTGCTATAGGTTCCTGAGTTGCCCTATGATGTCACAGAGCACTTGTTATGTGAGAACTTAGGCTAAGTTTAAACTACCCTGACAGAAACATCTAGAATGAAGACATTGAGGATGGAAGATAGGAATAGGTATGCTTATAGACATATTGAAGATTTTAAGCCAGGAAAACCTTAAATGGGTGTCCATTGAAGTAACCAACAAATACTTACAAGTGTAGTAGTCACCAAATATGTTTTAAAAGTTTAAAATGAATTTCTGCCTAAAGACCAGAGGTTAAAAATGGTGGTCTCTACAGAACTCAAAGTTGATTTTTCTTTAGTTTTTAAATTCCTTTTGATAAAAGTTTAATTGCCACTAGAGTTATTTTTAAGTTAGAAGATAAGAGGATTGACTTTTTAAACTTCGATGTGAATTTCTCTGCTATGACTGACTATATTTCCCTATATGGAGAATTGTAAGTTTTCACAATGAAATCATAAACTTTTAGTGTGCTTTGATTCTCTGCTTTATGCCTTATCCATCTGCCACAAAGGAGGATTCTGGTTAGTATACACATGATGGCTTGTATGCTCAGTGTGGGTAGTTATAAAGTTATTACTTATACCATAGAATCTGAATCAATATAAGTAGGTGTTAACATAGAGACATGTACATTTTTTGTCCAATAAAAATAATAATGATTGATTATAAGAAATGTAATTTGGGATTACTAGAGATTATTTACTTAAAATTAAGTTCCCTTAAATTTTCTTTTCTTTCTTGCAAACTACTTTTTCCTTTGGTTAATACATAGGTACATTTGAATCTTGCTTTTTCTATCAAAAACAAACTCCAGGATTTTGACTTTACTAAAAGTAGGGTTCCTGTCATCCATGTCTTTATCCTCCTTTGTACCCTTTACAGTGCTTGCAGGTTCAGGCTTGCAAATATTTGTTGAAGAAAACATGATCCATAATTTAGCACTTCCCAGTGGTTTCAAATAACGTGATCAAATTAAAAACACATAACCAAATTAAATGCAGTAAAGTTTTTACTTCATTTAAAAATCTTATTTATATTCCCACAGAGTCACAAAAAAATCAGAAGATGCTAGGCAGCTACATTTTTGAAAAGATCAAGGGTCACTTAACTGTTAGAGTAACACAGAGTTATATTTAGAAGTAGACTTAAAATGTGACAGTTCATGACATGGTATTTATTAAGGAACACACTTCACATCCAGGAGTTGACTTTTTGCTCTACTATGCCTGCATTGTACCTCTTTCATAAAGAACAAACATAAATGCTTTGTATGTGACTTTGTGGGAGGGATTCTCTTTGATGTAGTTATAAAAAGTCTTTTCTATTGCATAAATACTACTTCAATAACAATAATAGCAAAATAAATATAAAATTGACATCAACGGTGTACAGTTACTGAAAATTTATCCTTGACTTTTTTCTTCTTTGTTAATACCTCTAGTGTCTATCTAATATGTTCTTCATGTACCACTATTTAGTCTGTTCAAGCTGCTATGATAAAGTACTGTAGACTGGATGGCTTATAAATGACAGAAATTTATCTCCTACAGTTCTAGATGTGGACACCTGAGATCAGGGTTCCAGCATGGTAGGATTCTGGTGAAGACCCTCTTCTTGATGGCACACAGATGGCTCTTCACTCTATCCTCACATGAAAGAAAAAGAAAGTCCAACCTGGGGTCTCTTTTCATAGGAGGCCAATCCCAAGCACGAAGCCTCTGCTTTCATGATGCAATTACCATCAAAATGCCCTATCTCCAAATACCATTCCCTTAGTATTAACATTTCAACCCATGAGTTTCAGCGGCACATAAACATTCAGTCCGTTGTTAGCTCCATCTCCACTCTCTACTTGCCTGAGCTAGTTGTACAATGCAATTATTTTCTCTTATTCTTCCATAGTTGGTTTCTCACTGGGCATATACTTGCCCACCAAGAGACTGTGTTTCTCAGATTGTTTACCAGTTACATGTGGTTCTTTGGCTCTACTTACAAAATAGAATGAGACTAGAAGTGAAAATTACACTTCCGAGTGAAGTAGGCAAGAAGGTAGCTAGCAACGAGGTCCTGAGGTTACCAATCCCTTCCTGTAGCTCCCCTGTTCTGTCTAACTATTTCCAATTTTCATGCAGTGGAAAACCACATTTCCATTAAACAAACATGTATAACCAGCACTGGGCAAAAATACCCAAACTGGCTGTTATTTGTTTCCCTGTGATGATTTTTAGCTAATTATAATATCACTATAGTAATATTACCATTGTCCATGACTGATATTCCTACTCTCATCACGCATATGATGTCATCACACTTCTAAGATTTCAAAAAAAAAAAAAAAAAACAAAACAAAGAAATAGGCCATGTTCAATCCCTGTCCCAAACCCTGCCTCAGGAATATTCAATTAAAGCCCATCCTACATACTATCCTCATGCCTCCAGATGGTATAAAGGATTGGCCCTGAAAGTCACTGAGTGCTGCTTATCTTTCAGTGTGCTTATACTTCCTCTCAAGTGTAAATATTATTCCTCTGCTAACATTTACCTACATTTAATCCTTAAATTATTTTTTGCATTGGAGAAAATGACCTGGACCCAGTCATCCAATGATATCTTGATCCAGCAACACCATGACATCTGGTTGAGCCAGTCACATGGAGGAGAAAACCCATTGAGATATTTGTTGATGAGCCTTTCTCCTAACTCTCTTTCCCCTTGTGATTGAGAACCTTGGTTTCATTCTGCCTTTCTTTTCTTCACTCCATTCCCACTCAATCTACTCCTTCCAGTGATTACTAGGGGCAGAAAGGCCAAAATCCAGCACTGCATAGATTGGTCACCATTTCTCCTTTTGCAGAAGGTATGTGCAAATGGTTGGGACTTGTTCTCAAGCCAAGAAGTGAATGAAGGGTTCCCTTGTTTCTTCCACCATCTGACCAGCTGACATTCTACATTCCTGCCCTCTCTTTGCCTATACTTTCTAAACCTCCAGCCTTTTTGCTCCTTTAGGATAATTCTCCTACTACATATTTCACCACCCTTATCAATGAGATATTTAATCTCTATACATTAAGCCTTTCCCTATATATAGTAATAAAAACTGTTATCTTCTGATCCCCAAGAACCTTTGCTATCTCTTGAAAACTCTTTGGCATATGGTTACTCTCACCCTGACTCTATGCCTATAAAATACTGGTACTCTTCTATTTATTTTAGAATTCTCTTTTCATCATAACTTGTTTCAGTGTTGTCATATCCCATAACCATGGCAACACTCAGACTGAGGGGTCTGGATGTGGTCCTGGGACATCATTGACATGATACCATATTCAAAAGTTTCTTCATATTCATTGAAAGAAGACCTCTTTAATTTCCTTTCAATGACAACTTTTAATATTATTTCATCAGTCTTACAGAACAGCTACAGACTGGATCTTAAGAACCAAGTAAGCTACCACCCAGCTAAAATGTTAAAAATGAGACCCAAGATCACTTGTTACCAACACCAAAACCTCTTGACAGAAAGCCCCTAGGGTTATGAATGCCTGGGAAAAATGAAGGGGTTTGAGATAATTTTAGATTTGAGGGTGCTTGGGCACTAAGGATCATACTCAAAAAGAAACGCCAAGGGATGTCTTGTGAACCGAAAAACAAAGTTGAAATCCTGGGATACCAGAGTTGACCTAGTCCATGGATAGGGCTCTCATAGAGCCACTCTTTCCTCTATCTACACTCTTCCTCTCGCTAGGTCATGAGGAAGCTCTCTGAAGCCTGAATGACTCTATGTCCATCTTCATATCTCACCTCTGGGTTGCCTCCTTAAAACTTGGGTAATCTTTAGACGTTCTAAACAAGAAAATATTTATTTCTTTTTTGCATCACTGTCTGGCTATAAAATATGCTAGAGAATGGGGAAACCCATTCCTCAATACTTTAGTACAGAACTCTCAACTTTTTTTTTTCTTTTTTCTTTAGTAAATATAAATTTTCAAAGTACAGTTAATGGATTACAATGCCCCCCCCATAATTTCCCTCCCACTCACACCCCTCCCATCTCCCACTTCTTCTCCCATTCCATTCACATCAAGATTCATTTTCAATTATCTTTATATACAGAAGATCAATTCAGTATATATTTAGGAAAGATTTCATCAGTTTGCACCCACACAGAAACACAAAGTGTAAAATACTGTTTCAGTACTAGTTATAGCATTACTTCACATTGGACAACACACTAAGGACAGATCCCACATGAGAAGTAAGCACACAGTGACTCCTGTTGTTGACTTAACAATTTGACACTCTTTGTTTATAGCGTCAGTAATCTCCCTAGGCTCTAGTCATGAGTTGCCAAGGCTATGGAAGCCTTTTGAGTTTGCCGACTTTGATCTTATTCTGACAGGGTCATAGTCAAAGTGGAAGTTCTCTCCTCCCTTCAGAGAAAGGTACCTCCTCCTCTGATGGCCCTGTTCTTTCCACTGTGATCTTACTCGCAGAGATCTTCCATTTAGGTCTTTTTTTTTTTTTTTTCCAGGGTGTCTTGGCTTTCCATGCCTAAAATACTCTCATGGGCTCTTAAGCCAGATCCAAATGCCTTAAGGGCTGATTCTGAGGCCAGAGTGCTATTTAGGACATCTGTCATTCTATGAGTCTACTGTGTATCCCACTTCCCATGATGGATCGTTCTCTCCCATTTTGATTCTATCAGCTAGTATTAGCAGACACTAGACTTGTTTGTGTGATCCCTTTGACTCTTAGACCTATCAGTGTGATCCATTGTGAACTGAAATTGATCACTTGGACTAGTGAGATGGCATTGGTACATGCCACCTTGATGGGATTGTATTGGAATCCCCTGGCATGATTCTAACTCCACCATTTGGGGCAAGTCGGTTTGAGCATGTCCCAAATTGTACATCTCCTCCCTCTCTTATTCCCACTCTTATATTTAACAGGGGTCACTCTTCAGTTAAAATTTAAACACCTAAGAATAATTGTGTGTTAATCACAGAAGAACCCTCAACTTTAATACTAACTTCCAACTTGACTTCTGTGAGACACAACAAAAATGGTCAGAAATTCCTTACATCCAGGCCTCATGGCACTGTCA